ATCATCATCATCATCATCATCATCATCATCATCATCATCATCATCATATAGCATATAGCATATAGCATATAGCATATACCATATACCATATACCATATATCATATATCATATATCATATATCATATAATATATCATCATATAGCATCATCTTCTTCTTCATCATCATATAGCATCATCTTCTTCTTCATCATCATCTTCTTCTTCTACTTCTTCTTCTGCTGCTCCTCCTCCTCCTCCTCATCACCACCCCTCTCCGCACGATCCACCCCATCCTCCACCTCTCCGCCAAGGCGCACGTAGGCGCACGAGGCCCACGCACTGCCAGCCACCACTGAGAGCTTCGTCACGTGCTGCGCCAGGCCTAGAAGCTCCAACGCACGCAGGACGCCTCCGGCCACGCGGCGTGGACGACATGTGCACTGCACGGCAGCAGTAGCGACAACGAGAAGACCGAGAAAGAGAGAGTTGAAGTCTCAGGGCTTTCTGAAGGAAATGCCTCTATCTTGAAGAGACATCCAGGTTGAGAGAAGCTAGTGCATCATATGCCGAGTGAGCTCGAGGATACGTTCATACAGCCTGGGGATCGTGTCCCGGTGTCCATCTCAAAATATCTCAAATATAAGCAATGCATTGGACGAGAGTCTCCATCCACAAAACTATGGTCCACGTAATGTAGACTCTTTATGAATAGAACATGTACTTAAAAACATTTTAAAGAAATAACGCTGCATTATAACACTCTCCATATGAAGAGGTGTCTCTTATCCAAATGGGAGGACTTTAGCCATCATCTCTCAGCTGTTGAGATCCAACAGGCTCCCAGCTCCATGCCTACCGTGGTGCAAGCGGCCCCCCAGACCACCGCCACTGATGCAAAGGCCGACCTGCGCGCGGTCCGAGTCCTAGCGGCCCGCCCGTGGTCCCAGCGGCCCAACCAAGGGAAGTCGGCTCAAGACCGGCAGAAGAAGCATTGCAGTTGCCATTCACGACCCTTGTTTCGATCACGAAGTGCCAATGCTTCGACTGCCCAATTCTTCTGAGCTTGAGCCAAGCGAAATGGTTCTCGTACATGCCGCATGCCTAACTTTAGACGCTTGAACCAGGAAGCTCGACCCAAAAGGCCGCGGAAGTGTCCCGGTTGGGTCCCATCGCGGCCTTCGTAACGGCGAGACATCATATTAAAGAAGAACCAGCCGAGCAGTCGAAGAACCCAAAGGATCACGGAGGCCGCGTGGCTGTGTGGTGCTGGAAAAGACTCCTCTTGGAGGGGGAAGGACACCGGACAAAAAGACAACGAATCATGGCATGGGCCACCATGAAGGCAATTCATGTGCCACACTTGGACCCTCGTTGCTCACACTTCTCCCTCAAACCGGCGGCCAAATCGTCGCCGTGGCCGTCCCGTGGTCTCCATCCAGTGGTCGCAGCCAGTCTCCGAGTTCTGGAAGTCCAAAGCAACCCTTAACAGGAACCTGACAAAGTCATCCACTACCAGCACCCGAAACCTGCCAGGTCACCACCTGCGAATTTGAAGTCAGCAAAAGCCTCCATTTCAGAGACCTGTTGGAGGGTGCTGGTAGTCATCCCAAACACCACGATTTCAATGCCAGATCACCACGGCGACGTGGTTTCCAAGAAGTCAGGACATTGTCTTTTGCCTGTCAAGGCTCAATTCTTTGTGATACCTTTCCAGCCGGCGCAGGGAAGACACGTGAAACACCAAAGACCTGCAACCGGCAAAGGCACTCTTCCCAATGTGCCTGACTGAGTTGGGGATGGTCAATCTCACCAACTTGTGGCAATCCTGAAACCCGTAGATCCCAATGTACGTCACAGAGTTCGGGATGGTCAAGTTTCTCAGAGAGCAGCAACCCTTGAAGGCACAGTTCATAATGTGACTCACTAGTCAGGGATGGTCAAGTTCGCCAAATAGCTGCAACCCGCAAAGGCACGACTCTCAATGTGGGTCACTGAGTCCGGGATGGTCAAGTTCACCAAGGAGCTGCATCCATAAAAGGAAAAATCATTAATGTGGGTCCGCGAGTTCGAGATAATCAAGTTCGCCAAAGAGCTGCAACCGTCAAAAGCACCAAACCCGATGTGTGTCACTGAGTTTCGAATGGTCAAGTTCGCCAAAGAGCTGCAACCTTCAAAGGCCCAATGTGAATCACAGAGTCTGGGATGGTCAAGTTCGCCAATGAGTGGCAATTCTCAAAGGCACCTGTTTCAATGTGGGTCACAGACCAAAAGGCTGCAACAATCGAAGGCAGACCGCCCAATGTGGGTCACTGAGTTTGGGATGATCACTTTAGCTAAGGTATGGCAAGCCTTAAAGGCATTCTCACCAATTTGAGTTTCATCACTTGGGATTTCAACTGCAGGCAACAGGTCCGGCTGAATGACACCGCCAAGGCTCACGATCGCATCTTGGTGGAAGCATATCACTTGGTTTGTTTTGAAGACCACACTGACAACAGCATCTGCAGCAAGTCCTGCATCTACCACCTTCTCGCCATTGTCAAGCAGGCGGTCTCGGACAATGATCTCCACCCCAGTAGTTTTGCGAGAACTCTCGTCCCACGCCTGTCCTCTTTTGATCTGCTGCTTGATCTCCCACACTGTCATCTCTGGCATGACTTCAAGAACCAGGACTTCGCCACTCGGCTGCAGCACTGAGAGTTTCTGGGCCATGGCTCATATATAGCCGGCTTTGGATTTGTCTCACTAGCACTAGCATTGCTCCATCGCGCATTTTACTGCTCTGTTCAACTCACAGCATACGTCGTGAAGTGATGGGCAAGATTGTGCAATCCCAGAGGCTCATGGACCCTCAAACTGCTACATGTTGGAGGTCCAAAACCCTGGTTGTGAGGGTCAAAACCCTAGCTATGAGGGTCCAATGAGCCTTTGGGATCTAATGATTCTGCTGCTTCGAACGATCTTCAATCAACAGCCATTCCGGAATATCTCAGTGATCCTTCCTGTTAACACACCCCACCATTCAGTTATATCATTAATAAAATTTCCTCCACAAAATGTCACTTGCATGATCCTCTACCCATCCAATCGCACCGGTGTCGTGCCTCCATGTCTTGCCAATCCACTGCCGGAAGCGTCTCCTTGGGATCGGCTCTAGACTCCAGAGCCGAGGTACTTGGGGCCGGATCGTGTACAACTGATCGGTATACAGTATCGGATATACCAGTGGATGATGGATTAGTAAAGTGATATAATTGTTTAGCGACTGTTGTGAGAGGCTGGGAGTGAGTCAGAGCTTCGCTCGTGAGGGAAGCCATACGAAGCCTCAGCCTAGGAGGTGCCACCTTTGGGAGCCTCAAAGCGTTCCAAGCCTCCCCTATTTACCAACAAAACAAAAAATACCATGGGCATGGGCCAATTCGTGCAATATCTCCAAATCACCCCGGGCCCATCTTCTCGGGCAAGTGTGGATGATACAGGGAAGTCGCCGAAAGCAAAGAATGGATGCGCAAGGCCAGAGGCTGAATCCTAAAGGTCGCCCCATGCTGGAAACCGCTTCAAGTGCCGTTCCCCAAACACCCCACTCTACGCCGCACCGAACCTAACCCCGCGCTGGGCCTTCATCCCCCCCATGCTGTGGACCACCGGTGGACCGGTCTTATCCCGCGTGGGGTCGGGACGTTCGACGTCTCCGCACCGTCAACGCCAAGGTGCCAGGACCGGTCCAACCAAGGCCTCTTCGGCACACGGGTCGCAGCTCGCACAGCGATTCCCCATGGCCGCCCATGGGACGTTCGGCCGGCCCAAACCAGGCAGACCGACCGGTGCCAACGAGTGCGGAACCACCTTTTGGAGGCGGCCGTCCGAAACCCACCGGGGGGGACCAGCGGCGCGGCGGCGGAAGCCGCGGGGAGTGTCATGCCTCCGAAGTGCCAAGTGTCTAATGCATGGTCATGCGCATACATTGGGAGAACAGAAAGCTGGTTGGAAAGGTACCGCGGTGCTGGTTGTCTTCACATGCATGAAGGTTTTGCTGCAGGTCTATCAATCATCGCTTCCATGTTCCAAGCATTCCCACAAAAATTCACAGAGCCAACCTGAGATGTCTTGCAGATCTTTAACTCTTAGCTTTAGCTGGTCTAAGGGGCCCCTTTCCTGGTCGCTCACTTCACGGTTCCTGCTTGGGGAATATGGATACCTCGTACTTCCCGGGCTAGTCCCTCGAGAGGGCACCAGCTATATAGTTAGAGTCAGAGCAGTGTTGCTCCTGGGAGTGGCCACAGATCCCCTGCCCTAAAGTGTCCAAGGTCTTTCTTGCTGTAAAACATGAGCCAGCAGCTGGAGTGAGTTCAATTGGACGCATGGCAGCTGGAGAAATCGGAATTGAAACTACCAGGACCCCCGAACACAGGGGTGGGTGTGTCTATAAAGTTCTATAAATATAGCCACTGAGAGGTTAAGGGGGTGTCCCAAAACCATCTGTTGGAAGGTCCTGGTCACCTGATGGAGTCTCGGTCTTCTTACAAAAACCTTTAGGTTCTGACTCCCTCAGATGGGAGGATTCTGCGGTCGCTCCGCGATGGGTGAAAACACCCATTCCCCGGGTCGCTTCGCTTGGGTCGACGATGCGTGATCGATCCTGAAGGATGCTGCTAGGGCGGGGTGTCCAATGATAGCCCCTGGGCCCTGGACATCCCTGGACTGTCCAGGTTAAGAGGTGTCCATGAAACCTGTTCATCAACCAGCCCTTACAAGAAAGGGGTTCTGGGGTGTCCTTTTAGTTTTCTGATTTGGGGGAATGTGACTATATATGGGACATGGGGAGAGAGGAACTTCAAATGGATTCAAATTGAATATAGTGGATTGAGCGTAAGATGGCACACAGGCCCCCGGTCTATTTGGATTCTTTTTGGACCCCCATCTGTCTGAGACATCTTGGGGTGCCAGTGCCATCGAACCTCTGAAACCACTGCAAATGTAGACGGTTGATAAATCAATCCCCCCGTATAGGAGGATTCCATTCACACCCACCTGAGGGATGGCCCGACATGAACAAACGTGGTTGAATGGATTAAATCAAGTCAACTGTGGACTTGGATGCAGATCTTTCTAATACCATGCCATGCCTTCTTGGGGTCTGTTTGCTGGACGTGAGGTGATTCACCACTCTTTGATGGTGCGGAACAGAGTCGTCCTCATGGTGCGGAACAGAGTCGTCTGCACTTTTCGGCCGGTAAAGTGTGGTGAACAAAAACATGTTTACACAACAGTTGTTTGTAGAAACGGAATCTACAAACCCAAATGCATCGTCACGTTGGGTCCAAAACGTCTAATGTTGTGTTTTTTTGACATGATCCCATGGTTGAAGCAACCGGCATAGAGAAGGAAAACTGCATCGTTCAATTGTACCAGCATTACCAAATAGTTTCAGCAGGTGTTTTGCGTCAATTCCTTGAATTCCAATGTTCCTGGAAACAACACATCTGTAATATTCCTACCCAAACGCTCCTGGGCCCTCATATGCAGGGGTCGGACCCTCATATGGAGGGGTCTGGACCCTCAAAACCCTATGGTTTTGAGGGACCAGTCGGCCTGTGGATACGCGTCTGGGTACAGCCTCCAAGTGTTTGGGAACCGTATGGAAACCAAAAAAAAGGCATTTGGGGGGAACGGGATGATTCTGATATCTCAATCCCAGACACTCCATGTATGGCATATTTACCTACATTGGGGTGGTTTTGGGGGTCAATGTAGGTATATATGGCATACATGGAGTGTCTGGGAATGTGGAAACACTGCATTGCATCACCGTCAGATTCATAGCCACAAGAAAAACCCACCCCGGACTGCTCGGCGAAAGGAAAAACGATAAGGCCAATGCAGGTGATAAGACGTTAAGAGGTCCGATCACACACACAAAAGCAGGACAGCCTGGACAAGGCCTGCTCCTCAGAAGGGCAGAAAAGAGGTTGGCCACTCCGGACCCATTCGGTGATCAGGGGGCCGCGCTGTGGGTTCTCCACGAACGCTCTGGGCACCACCAATCCCCTCGAAGTGCATTCGCCGGCCGCTGCCTGATCTCGGGAACGCTCAGGACCGGCGCCTGCGGCGACGGGAGACGCGAAGACGGACGCGAGCGGAGAATTGGGTCGTTAACAACACTGAAGAGGGGCGATCGTGAGCATCCCAGGTGGTAGAGTCTTTTGCTCAACCCAAACGCTCCTGGACCCTCATATGCAGGGGTCGGACCCTCATATGGAGGGGTCTGGACCCTCAAAACCCTATGGCATATGGTTTTGAGGGAGTAGAAGCCTGTTTGGAGCGTCTGGGAACATCATTTAACAGATGTTAATAGGATTTAATAGGCTATAATATGGGATTCGTTTGCGGTGCCAATTGTTTTGGGAGTCCCACATGATGATCCCTTTTGGTGGGGTCCACCATGCTGGGTGTCGCCAGTTGAAGGGAAGCACTCAGTAACCTTGACTTGACATGGTCAAACTGCCCCACATCATGATGAGAGACAGTAATACTTTATAATGTGCCCTTTGATTAGTACACCCACCCCAGTTGAATTGAAACACCTCTTCATATGGAACCCTAAACCCTAAACCCAAGGGGGTTATTCATCAAGAGTCTACATGATGTTCGTTGCACCACGAAGTTGAGGGCTACGGTGGAGACCTTCAGCGCCATGCAGCGCAGAAAAAAACGCAGGGGGTGTCAACATGTTGTCCTCTTCCCAAGCAAACGGACCGACCACTGGACCCTGACCGTGCCTCACTATGTACGGTTGATAGCAACTTGGCCGCAAAACCTCGCAACACAGCTGCATGGGTCGACTGGAGCCGTTCCAACTTCATGTGCTCGAATCAGTGCATCGGACTTCGTCGCAACTATCTGGACCTTCAAGGGGTGTTTCATGGAGATCCCGGAGAGTAGTGGGCTGGGGCGGCTGTTCGCCAGGTGACCCCGAGGTCCTGAAGGTGCTGGTACTTCCACGTTGCAAGAGGGTCTCAACTTCCTGAACGCACACCCCTCCTGCAGAAAAGAGTCGCTTCGAAGGAACATCAGTGCCGGTGGAAACCCGCTGCAGGGCGAGGAAGCTTAACGCTTGGAACCGTTTCCTTCAGTGAAGTTGTAGACGACTTTTTCATACTTTTTCCATTGACCGGGGCCTCGGAGTGATTACCGAAATGTTGTAACTTCTCACACATGGCCTCACATGAAGCTAGGCGGTGTCACCCTCCAAACATGGCGCCCCGGCCGGAGTCGCCCTCCGCCTCCGCCACCTGCAGCGAACGCTCGCGCACCGAGCACATATTTGCAAGGGGTTTTACACAACAATCATCTCCATGTCGTGTCCAAACCAGACCTCAAAAACATGCATGGGTAGCGATGGCAGTAGGGAGTCCCAACAACGCAGCCACCGACGCACGACGCACGAGCTGCGCGGCGCGCGGCGTCGCCTCAGAAACGTCCGACACCCCGCCTCGCGAAGGGCTTTCAGGGCCTCCTCCGAGGGTGTCTCCTGCGGTGGGCACTTCGCGGGTCCGGTGGGCGGTGGTGACCGCTCACCGGTCTGGTGGGACGGTCGCAGATCCTTGAGGTTAGGTACCAGGACCCTCCAAGGTTCGGCTGTTTGGAGACCCGACCACAGGTGGTGGACCTGGGCACCGGACTTGGAAACACAGGAAGCACCTGTTGGAGGGTGCTAGTATATAGCACTTCCAAGGGGTGCCCTGTCTGGAGACCTGTTTACGTAGGGTAGGGTAGTCTATTGGACACCCAGACAGGATAATCCTGGTATATAGCTGTGATGAAAACTCGAGCGGTCATTGACCACAATCCAGTGGTCATACGCCTGCCCCCCCATACTACATCACCAGTTTAGGCCTCCCTCTGTCCCAAAAATGGGATCATGGCATGTTGGTTCATCAGGGATGAAGCGCTATAGTCTAGCCATATAGTTAACCTAGTACATCCTGGTACTCCCACAGCCCACAGCAGCTACAGCCAGCAAGTTCCACTTCTGATGTGACCCAACTGATTCACCCACCCGAAAACGACCCAATGATGTCCTTCTCCCGACCGGTGGAACTCGGGGTTTAGGACATCGGGGCCCTCCCACCTCGGCCGCCAGCAGCTTGGCCGAGAGCACGTGCTTCACCTGCCACGGTTCCCGGAAGCGCTTCTGGGGGCCACCGCATTAACCATCCCAATGGTGAAAGGGGGAAAACAGCCCAGCTATGGCCTTGACACTTCGAAGTTCCCAAAAAAAAAACATCGCCCAACCCACCACCACGGAAACACCACGGTGGGCGCCGAACCGGGTGCCGCTGCGGAACCGGTGGTCGCAGGCGCCGCCGTCGCCTGAGTGGTGGTCTCTGCGCGCGCCGCCTGGGAAAGCCATTGAGCCACGGCTGCCGCAGGCGTAGAAGGATCCCATCCGGTGAGCGAATCCGGACTGCTCCTTCAGTCCCATGGGACTGGAATTCGAATGATCTTAGAATTCTCTGCAAGCAGAGGAAGTTCAGGAAAACACCACCTATTGCCAGGTCGTCATAACCAAACTAGGTCACCAGCTGGAAACGTGGATATCGTTTGATTATGATTCGCTGGTTGTCATATCATTGGGTTGCCCAACATGCTTCTTTAGTGGTGATAATTGACCCTCAGGGAGGAAGCCTTCTTTGAGCTACGTACCATAGCACTACTGAAAGTCCTCAAAAACGGGGCGTTGTTTTGTTGATCTCTTCCATGGGGGTCGGCAAGATGCTCCCCCTACTCCCCCTATTTCAATACGCTCATGTTGTAAGAACACCTTCTCTTCTCACTTTAAACCCCAAATCTCTCTGCTCGAAGCTTGAGGCACCGAGCAATTTAAGTGTGTTTCTTTGGGACGGGAAACGCCCACATCTCCAACATTTAATCACATCCCACCA